GTGAAAATGTTAGGCATCAAAAATAAGTTGATAGTTCCTTTTTTTCCAATTCTTTTTTCAATATAGGAGTACCACAACTTCTGGAGGCAAGTTGTTAAACTGATTAATTTTTTTTCACTGTCAAGAAGTTCTCCTTAGTTTTAGGTTACTTTTCTCTTTGTTCAGTTTGCATCCATGGTTTCTTGTCTTGCCTTCTGGTGCTTTGGAGAATAGCTTGACCCCCCACTTGTTTGTGGCAGCTCCTTAAATATTGGAACACTGCTATCATGTCATCCCTAGTCCTTCTTTTCATTAGACTAGATGTACCCAGTTCCTGCATGCATTTTAATCATCTTTATCTGTTCACACTGATTCTGTTAACAATCCTCTGTTCCCATTGATTTTAGGTAAAAAAAAATATTGAAAGAGAATTTGAACCCATCTCAGAAGAACAGTCTGGAGAACATTGAGCAAAGGTGAGATAACCAAAATATCATCATCCAGAAACAGATCCTTGCATGTCCACAAAGATGAATTGTTTTTGAGAGGCTGAAACATGGAGAGGTCCCTTGTAGCTCCACTTGGATTAACCACACTCAGAAGAAGACTACAGTGAAGAATTGCCCTGTTTGGAATAACATATTAAAAGAATCGTGGTCTGATTCAAAGCATCAGGTTTTTAACTTATCTTTCATTTTTAATGCAAAGAATGGAAACTGATAAGCTGATGCCCATTTGAAACATGCAATTAAAAGAAGAATGGGGATCTGGAAATTAATATCTTCACTCAATTTTTAGGAATGAACTAATGGCAAATAGGACCACAATAAATGAATTCACACTGTTGGGGCTGAATGCCAACCCTCCAATTGAAGTTAGCCTTTTTCTCCTCCTGCTTGGGATTTATCTTTTGACATTAATAGGAAACACAATGATTGTTATTATCACACTGGTGAATGTTCAACTCTGTAGCCCAATGTATTTCTTCCTCCAACATTTGGCATGGGTAGATATTGGGTATATGAGTACTATAATTCCCAAAGCACTGGTCAACATAGCTACTGGTACTAAGAGCATCTCTTTAGTTGGTTGCTTCATACAGGTATTTCTTTATTTGGTCCTTGGCACCACTGCGTTCTTCCTAGTGGCCACAATGTCTGTTGATCGCTACATAGCCATCTGCAACCCTCTTCACTATACAACCATCATGAATCCCCGAATCTGCTCATTATTAGTATTTTCTTGTTTGGTTGGGGGGTTATCACTAATTCTAGTTATATCCATTCCTTTATTTCTTATGCCATTTTGTGGTCCTAATGTCATGAATCATTTTTTTTATGACTATGGACCCCTAATGAAGCTGGTATGTGTGGACATCAGCTTCCTAGAAATGACTTATTTTGTAGTTGCCATATTCAGTCTGCTTGGGACCTTAAATGTCAACATTGTCTCTTATGTCAAAATCATTTCCACCATTCTACGCATTCCATCAGCTACTGGTAGGAAGAAGACCTTCTCCACTGTTGCGTCTCACATGACCGTGGTCACTATCACTTACAGCAGTTGCATTTTCATGTATGTCAAGCCAAAAGGCACCGTTGGATTAGACTACAACAAAATAGTGGCTCTTCTGAATACTGTTATTGCGCCCTTTCTCACCCCAATCGTGTACTCTTTGAGGAACAGACAACTGCAGAATGCTTTGAAGGCTGAACTGAGACAAAGGATTGGTTTTGCAAAAAAATGATATGATTGGCTATTGCTAGGGCTCCAAAATAGAAGTTCAGATTTAATGTCTTTCAATGGATTGTGCTGCCTTCAGATGTAATAATTACCCAATTGAGATGGTCTTACAAGGGGATTTGAGAAAGCATAGAGTAGTGGTGGCGAACCTATGGCATGCATGCCAGAGGGGGCACTCAGAGCTCTCTCTGTGGGCACACATGCCTCACTCTTTGGCTAGGTTTTCATAGGAAAAAAGCCATTTTCAGCTTTGAATTATATCAAATCTGACACCAGAAACAGACTACAGATGACCTGAGTGCTGCATATGTTGATTTCAAACTTACAAAATATAAGCCAAGGTTAGACAAATTATCAGCATGCATACAACAACAAAAATCACATTAATGGTTCAAAAGCATGCCTAACGCAAACTGTTTATCTTTCAATAAAAAGTTGTTTGTATCATTGAAAGCTTTGTTATGGTGTTTTTCTTTTAAGACAAAAGATGTTAATCTATGAGTTGTTTTTTCTAAACTAAAACTTCAGTATTCAGATTAAATTGTGCTGTTGGCACTTTTCAATAAATAAGTGGGTTTTGGGTTGCAGTTTGGGCACTGGGTCACTAAAGGTTTCGCTGTCACTGGCATAGAGGATGGGATAATCAAGAATGGAAACATCTGATTGATATCAAAGGCCGAATCTCTGAAAAAATTGGTTTGCTAGTGAAGAACAATGGAAAAAGACAATTGCCCATCTCTCCTGGTTGTCCATTTACAAAAGACATCTGGTTGCACATTATGTGACCTAGGAGATATGAGAACTTCACTTAATGCACCCTCAAAGCTCTTACCATCTTCAGAAGAAGAACATACAGCCACCATCTCCTGATTGTTTCTCGGGTTCAAGTATGTTTTATTATTTCTCACTATATTGTACAATATAGTACAATAAGATATTTGGTTTTGGTTTACTTATGGGAGTCAATACTGGTGAATGTAGCTATTCCTCTTGATGTTTATCACAGATTAAAATAACTGAACTGGAGAATGAAGCTCAGTGATTATAGAATATCAGCAGGCAATGCTCCCACTGATAAAGCTGAATGTAACAGAAAATGCATAGTAAAGGCATGAAACATGAGATCTAGAGCTGCAGAATGTTCCTAATATAGAAATTAATGGTTGTAAGGTGCTCATAGTCACCTTAATCTGAGGTGGGCAGTAAATTTGGTTTAATAAATAAAATGAATAAAACAAGTATCTAATTAAGCAGTTTTATTGGTTAATTCAATCCAAACCACAAGAATAAGGACTTTTTAAATTATAGCATCTTATTTCTCAAGACCTATCATGAATTCATACAAAGTTGCCTTGGGATATTGGAGAAAAATAGCAGACAAGACCTCCCTTCCTTTATCTTGCTCAATATGACACATAGTTCTCATTTATAAACATTTTTGGGTATCCAAATAGCTAGCAAAGGTTGAAAGCAGAGGGAAGTTCTTGAACGTCTCAGAATGCAAACAAAACTACAGTTAAATAAAAGAAATGTGAATCCAGATCAGAAATGGGCATTGATGTCCATGTCTGATCATGTTTTGTGATGCTCTGGAATCCTCCCTCAAATAATTTCTGTCTGAATTCACTGTCCCACTGGGAGGCTCAGTTTTATTACCAATGGCCAATGGAATTAGACACGGCCTAGTCCATTTGATTCCCACCATTTTCAATGAGTTTTGTAAATGTGTGCTTTAACTCTTGAATTTGATTGAGAACTGATTTCTATTATTAGATCTGAATTGAATGGCTAATTAAATAAATCTTCAACTGAAGTGAAGACATCCCTTGGAACTTGCACACAATGGTCTTCTCTGTCTTTGGGTTTGACATTAACAATAGAGGGAGATACAGAATATTTGATACAGATTCCTTGTAATGCATTTCTCTGCATTGAGATGTCCCTGAGGGATCTTCACAAATCAGTCTTGAATTTTTCTTATACCACATGCTTCAGAACTGTAACTTGCTCTATTGAGTATAAGATGTTGTTTCTGTGTTCATTGCTATGGAAAGATATTAAAGATGATGGCTGAGATGTTGCAGAAGGGGTACATCCATGAGAAGAAGAAGTAGAAGACAAGGCTTCTTTTCCAAAGGCCTGCGAATGGAGAATGCTATGCCTCCCAAACATTGAATTTGATTTATAGGCATAATGATACATTGATTAACCAACTGGAAAATGGCTTTTATGTAGATTGCGAGGAGCGAAAAATAGTTTCCATCCGAAAAATAACTTAGGAAGCAAAATTTGATAGCTAGCTGCTTCAAAACAGTAACTAGTTCTATTGTTTATGAGAGGTTGCTTCCATCTTCATTGTCATAAAAAGGTATAGAAGAAGAAGGCAGCAAAATTGCATAGGGGCTACATATGTGAGCCAAGAAGACAAGACATCTCCTCAAAGTACTAAGAATAGAAAATGCCATGCTTCTCAACAAACTGAATTAAAGGGGTAATATTTTAACAGATGTTTTTGCTTTTCCTCTGATTTGAAAGCAAAACGGACATAGTTTAACAATCGAGAGAAGTAAATGCTATTTCTATATTATTAAACTGTGGTGATTTTGCTTACAGAACTAAGCAAAATAAGCAAAGCATAAATAGGATGACAAAATGGCATAAGGATCTCAAAAATTATGTGAATGCTACAATGATTGATAGGATTCCCAGTGGTGAAAATATTAAGACCATATGCACCGCAATCTAGAAAAACCAGGCCTAATATCATTAAAGTTTGATGCCACCAGAATGTATACACTTACTTACAAACTTTACTCTCTGGGGAACCTATTAACAAATGTCTCCAAGGGTGTATCTCAACTTATACTTTTTAAATGCTAATTTATTTAACTGATTGTTAAAGAGGGATATTGCTGGCTTGGAATTAATCACCTGCTAAGTTCATTTGTGGGGAAAAAGTGTCACAGGATGGAGGAAAATAAAAACATATCCTATGTGTAGGCACATCCATCAGAATGCCAGTCTAAAAAAGACTAAATTGGAAGTGACCACATGAGATCTTCCTGCTGAAAGTTTGGGATATGGAGATGAAAATAGAAGCCACTACTTCTTTTCTTCTTCCAGTTGCAAGCTAGACCTCTCACTGATGATCATCCCAAAGTTTCATTCTTGGGGCCTCTAGTTTCTCTCAGTTCATGTACACCTTATGAGAAGGATCCTAGTGATGTTTTCAGATACAGTATGTATTGTGCAATTGTCTATGCATGATTTAGAGGTAGCAACAGGAAGCCACTAGGAATTATGATCAGTCTGGTGACCTTTTCCTCTCATCACTTATATCAGGTATGGCCAATAGGAAACCATAGGAAGAGCTATAAGGTCTAGGACCTTAAACTGAGAAAAGGACAATTCTAGTTCACATTTGTCCTCAATGGCTTCTAACTCCACCTGTCACAGGTATTATAAGCAGCACAACCTCACTATCCATGATAATTCAGAAATCTATACCTTCCAGTATGCTATGTAAAGTAGCACAGATGATGAGACTCATTCATAGAACCTCAGCAATTATGTTTTCATGGTTAAATTGATTTATAATGTAGAATTTCACTTTCAGAGAACCAGTTGGGTTCTTCCTTCCAGAAGACATAGACTTCAGTAAATACATTCCTGAAGAAAAGCCTTAAGTGAAGGCTTTCTGCCTGTCAATCAAGGAGGCATAACTGACAGCATTAAATAGAAAGATGCAAAACTCCATTGATAGAAGATAGTACAGGAGGGCATGGTTATTTCCACATCAATGTCACCCAAGAGATTTTATCTTATTATTGCAAGCTCTGCATGACTTAAAAGAAATGTATTTTATGGTCAGTGTGTTTTACCTGTACCAATAGAAGAACTGAAAGCCACTTGCGGTAAGTTAAAAGAGTTCCTACATGGTTCTCTTAATGTTCCCCTAGTGTGGTTTTGAGTTCTGCATATTTTGTTGAATATACTTACTTAAAGAATACTTTACTTGGCCAAGTGTGATTTATCTCTGGTGTAGAAGCTCTCAGTGTTTAATGGAATGGAATGGAATGGAGTGGAGTGGAGTGGAGTAGAGTAGAGTAGAGTAGAGTAGAGTAGAGTAGAGTAGAGTAGAGTAGAGTAGAGTAGAATAGAATAGAATAGAATAGAATAGAATAGAATAGAATAGAATAGAATAGAATAGAATAGAATAGAATAGAATAGAATAGAATAGAGTTGGAAGTGACCTTGGAAGTCATCTAGTCCAACCCCCAGCTCAGGCAGGAAACCCTATACCATTTCAGACAAATGGTTGTCTAATATCTTCTTAAAAACTTTCAGTGCTGGGGCATTCACAACTTCTGGAGGCAGGTTGTTCCACAGATTAATAGTTTTAACTGTCAGGAAATTTCTCCTTAGTTCTAGGATGCTTCACTCCTTGATTAATTTCCATCCATTGCCCCTTGTCCATTCCTCAGGTGTTTTGGAGAATAGCTTGACCTCTTCTACTTTGTGGCAAGAGGTTTATATACAGTACTGTATCTTTATATACTTACATAAAAAGAAGTATCTTCATATACTTCTCTATAAAGGCATTAATTTTATAGACAGTCTTTGTTCATGAAATATGGGAAAGAATAATTTGAGTGAATATCACATAATAGCAGCAATGCCACCTTCCTCCATAAAAACAAGTTCTTCTTTTATTAAAAACCACACACAGTGACTGAAAAACAATGATCCAAACAAAATATCTTCTTTTGCAGAGTTATATTTTGAAGAAAAGTTGACCATCCATTCTCAGTTTCTCCTCCTTGAGAGAAGTCATTTCAGTGCTGGTACATTTCTATCAGAAGAGGCATGATCTCTTGACTTCAGAAGGCTGGGGAGATTTTTCATGAGAGGTCTCCAGTTTTGAACTTGGGACTTAAGAGAAGAAGGCAAAATATATATTTTCTAATTACACCAATCTGAAGTGGTTTGTTACTTTGTTTGATTTATCTCCACCAGCAAATTCGCAATGAGAACTAGGACTCAGAACAGCACAACACAAGTGACAGAATTCATCTTAATTGGCTTCCAACTACCTAGGCCCATGGAATTCTTCCTTTTTTCATTGCTTCTGGTTGTGTTTTTCTTCACCTTAGCTGGAAACCTCATGATTATCACTCTGGTATGCATAGACCAACACTTGAAAACCCCCATGTATTTCTTCCTTTTCAACCTCTCCTTTTTGGAGATATTTTTTGTTCTGACAATCACACCAAAGATGATGATGGATTTAGTTTCTCAGAACAAATCTATCTCTTTCTTGGGCTGCATCAGTCAATGCTATTCTTATTTCTTCCTTGGTACCTGTGAAATCATCCTGATTGCCGTAATGGCCTTTGACCACTACATTGCTATCTGTCATCCGTTGCGCTACACGATCATCATGAATGGACGGGTTTGTGTGAATTTGATATTGGTGTGCTGGATTGGTGCTTTCATGAATAATTTTGGCCCCATTGTTCTCCTGAGCCAACTGTCCTTCTGCAGCTCTAACGTTATTGATCATTTCTTCTGTGACTATGCTCCACTGATAAAGCTTTCTTGCAATGATGTAGATACTCTCCTGACTCTGGAATCTACCCTCTCTCCTCTGGTGTTACTCAGCTCTTTGTGTGTAACTGTCGTCTCTTATCTCTACATAATTGTGACTGTCTTGAGCATGCAGATCAGTGGCAGCCGTGGGAAGACTTTTTCAACCTGTGCTTCTCATCTAACAGTCGCTTCCATCTTCTACGGCAGTGCCATCTTCATGTACTCTTTGCCCAGCAAGGGTCATTCTCGGGATGCCCAGAAAGCTGTGGCAGTTCTAACTGCTGTGGTCACCCCATTACTGAACCCTTTTATTTACACTTTGAGGAATGAGAAGGTCAAAGATGCTTTGCGAGACTGTTTACAAAGGCACAAACGTATTTTGTGAGAAGAAACCATTGGAAACACTTAGCCAACCTTGGCTGATCTCAAACAAATCAACATAGAGTTGGAGTTTGTTGATACATGGATAAGAGAACTATCACCTACTGCTGTAGTCTAGATTGGGATCTCAAAAATACATTCCAGAAGAGCACAGTGAAAAAAGGGCTTCTGTGCTGCTACTAGAAGAATAGCATGGGTATGGCCACAGTTACATCAGAGTTAAATTTTGTGAAAGGTGGTTTTTATATTATGATGGATTGTTCAGGACTTGGAAACAATCTGTGTACATTTTGATGCTTTGAAATTGTTGCATTTCTATTTCTGGTTGTAATCATGATCTTGAATGAAGACTAGCACTGAAATTCTCCTCTGTTGGGACTAGAATTCTTGCTTGGCTGTTCCTTAGATCTCAGCACTCTTGTTTGATCTTTCACCTTCTTGGCTTTTAATTTCTAAGTTACTATTAGAGTAATGTAACTGGTGACATAGTTTCAAATATATGTGTAAGTATGCAAGGAACAGAATTATTTTCACCCACATAATGTGAAACTGTCACATCATCCTTTTGAAAAAAAAATCATTTTGGGTTGCAGTATCAATAGTATTTAAGAAAAAAAACCAGCTGACATAAATTGATTTGTTTCCTAATTATAATTTAAGTCTTATATGAGAAATATTTGCAAACTGGGAACAGAACAGAAATGATATAAAGAAATGATGATGTATATTTAGAGGTATGAAACTATGGAAGCTGGGAGGAAATAAGTAAGGTATTGTGTCTGGATACAGATCAATGACCTTTGAGTCATCACAGCATGGTTCTAGTGGAGAAAAGGTGACATATTTCCTACATATGTTGGACATTCCAGATGGATTATATACTACCCATGATTCAACACATCACTTCTTTTCATTATTTCTCCAATCATGTCCCCCCTCCCTAAAGCAGGAATGTCCCAATGCTTCGTGTGACAACTATTCTACCACTATTTCCTAGCTTTATAAGAAAAGGACCCACCAGCCACATCGTCAGATGAACAGAACAGAATAGCTTTGTTGGCAATGTTTTATCGGACACACAAGGAATTTGGCTCTGGTGCATAAACTCTCAATGTACATACAAATAACAAAGTAATCTAATCATAAGACACCCATAATAGAATGTAATAGAAAAGATAAACTATATCTTTAGACATAAGACATTATTGTGGGAATTACGTGTTTTAGCAGAAGCACCTAATTCCCACAATAACTCCTCCACAGAAAGAAGTGGGAGGGTGAGATTGAGCATCATGAATGGTCAAGAGGAAAAGTTGCATTCAACTAGAAAAATAATTTGGTTTTAAATACAGCCTAATTATTTACTTAAAACGTTTACATAGCCACCCATCTTATAACCAACTTTCAATTCAATCCAATCCAACCTAACCCAATATCATTTTAATCCACCCAATCCCATCCTGAATTTGCTAACACCTTTTGCACTGTGTGCTTCAAAAAGTAACAAAGCCTGTACCATAGTTACATATCACAGAGGTTGGGTTCATAGAGGTTAAGTCAGAAGCAAACCACAACAAAACTCAGTATGTTACATGACAGAGAACAAAACAAAGCACAAAGTATGAGGAACATGAGCACAATGATTTTCTCTGTCTTTGTGTTTGACATCAATAAAGGCAGCAGATACAGAATACTTGAGGGGTCCTTGGTGCTCTCTGAGCTTGTTCATTTTCTTGCAGACATTTCATTACCCAAACTAGGTAACCTGCTCAGTTACCTAGTAATACTTGGGATATTGTTTACTTGATTATTGGTCTGATGTTAACATTGGAGTTAATCTATGCTGATCTGGGTGCTGGTTGCTGGTGGAGAGGTGCTTGTTAATGTCTTTTTAATAGACACATAGACATTAACAACATCTAATGACTGAGGAATTCTGGGACTTGAAATCCACAAGTGGCATGGCAACTTTAAGACGTGTGGACTTCAACTCCCAGAATTCCTCAGCCAGCAAAGCTAGTCTAGAATATAAACTGACAGCAAACCCCACTCCTTACTAGCACTGATGATGATGTTACCTAGTTTGGGTAATGAAATGTCTGCAAGGAAACAAGCAGGCTCAGAGAGTACCAAGGATCCCTCATGTCAACACTGAGCTACAAATGTTCTCCTTTATTAGTAAGAGAATAATTGATAATTGATAACAAATTTATTATGCACTCGGTCCTGTAAAACAAAACCTCATCCTGGACAGGCCTTGGCCGGGACAACTCACTGTCAAAAAGCTTTTCAAACACTGAAGGCATTGTTTGCACAAGAGCCTGTGTTGTTGCACCCAGATCCAGAACAACCATTTGTAGTACAGGCTGATGCTAGTGATGTTGGTGTGGGGGCTGTGTTACTCCAAGTGAACAGTCAAGGGAAACAGCAGCTCTGTGCGTATACCTCCCTCAAGTTGACAGAGATGGAGAGAGCAAGGGCTATCTGGGAGAAGGAGGCATTTGGCATAGGTGAGCTCTCTACACTTGGCAACATCTGCTGGAGGGAGCTAAATATCCATTTGAGGTCTGGACTGACCATAAGAACTTGGAAGTATTGCAAACCCCTAGGCGTCTGTCATCGAAGCATGTGTGTTGGGCACAATATTTCAGAAGATTTTGCTTTCATCTCAAATATGTGTCAGGGGTAAGAATTTCCTCGCTAATGCTTTGTCCCGACTCCCACAATATGACAGTAAAAGAGTTGAGGTAGTGCAAGCAATCCTGCCTACATATGACCAACCTGGGGTACATACTTGCACCAAGGTGGGGTCTTTTGAGGATGATTTGAGAGCGGCACTAGTACAGGATATGTGGCTGTGGGACAATCCTGGCTTGCTAACTCAAAGTGACGGATTGGCATGGTATAGCAATAAACTATACATACCAAAAGAAATGCGAAAACGGGTTTGTCACTGGTGCCATGACTCGAAACAAGCGGCTCACTTTGGATTTTTAAAAACCTTACATCTAGCCAGACGTCAGTTCTTGTGGCCCCGGATGAGGCGGGATATCTAGACATATGTAAATGATTGTCATGTGTGCACTCAGTGAAAACCATATCCCGGGAAGCCGATCGGGTTGCTTCAGCCTGTCGTAGACCCGGACCGTCCATGGCAAGATATAGCCATGGACTTCATTGTGGAGCTGCCTAAGGTTCGAGGGTACACGGTGATATGGACCATAGGAGATTTGTTTTCCAAACAAGACCATTTCATTCCCTGTAAAGGACTATCGTCAGCCAGAAAGTTAGCAAAAATATTTCTGACCCATGTATATCGACTCCACCGGACACCACATCGCATAATCTCAGACCGCGGAGTTCAATTCACAGCACAGTTTTGGCATGAATTCATCCGGTTCCTCGGCTCCACCCAAGGTCTTAGTTCAGCCTATCATCCAAGCACCAATGGTGCAGCAGAATGAGCTAATGCTGCAGTTGAGTGATAACTCCTAAGTTACATCTCATACCAACAGATGGATTGGGTGGATCTGGTAGTATTTGTGGAGATGGCATACAATAATGCTGTACATAGCAGCACTGGATTCACCCCTTTCCAGGTGGTGTACGGTAGGGAATTCGTACCAATACCGGAGTGCAGAACCCAGGAGCCCCAACCCTGTAAGGTCGATGACTGGTACAACCACGTAAAGGGGGTGTGGGATGTAGTCAAAAGAGCACTGACAAAAGCAGGGGAAGTGGCGAAGAAACAAGCAGATGAAAAACGTAGAACTGAAACACCGTTCAAAATGGGTGACCTGGTTTATTTGTCAACAAAATACATAAACCTCCAGGTGCCATGTAGGAAACTAGCCCCTAAGTATATTGGTTCCTTCAGGGTGACCCAAAATCATCAACCCGGTAGCCGTACGATTACGACTACGGCGATTCCTGGGTAAAATATACCTGATGTTTCATGTCAGTTTGTTAAAGCCAGTGGCGGCTGAGGCCATACAAGAAGGGCCAGTCCCAGTCACCCCAGGCAGATATGAAGTACAGGAAATTCTGGATTCAAGAGTAAGGAGGAGTCAGTTGTACTACCTTGTCCTGTGGAAAGAGTATCCTCTATCCGAGGCATCCTGGGTGGAGGCTAGAGATGTTTCTGCTCCCCGACTTATAAGCAGATATCATCAAACCCATCCCGGTAGGCCGGGCAGGCGGGACACTGGGGCTCAGTAATCAGGGGGCTTCTAACCGTGTTGTGCTTCCTTCCAGGGGGACTCCTGGTAGGGGGAGCTGAATGTTGTGCCCTGCGAGGCCTAGTCGCATTTGGCCTGGTCGGAGCCAATGTTAGTTCCCCATCTGACAAGGCCTTGGTTACCTGCTCCGATGCGATGCTGCTGCCGGTGTTGCTGCTGTTGGTCTCCTGTCGGGGACTGCTGGCGTGACGCATCTGACCATGATGATGTCATCAAGGTGCACCTGGCTGCAACAAAGGGCTGTGGCTATAGAGAAACACCACAGAGAAACACCTCGCTGGGCCGACAACCTTCCATGTGGAACCAGCTTGTTCCAAGGGGCCGCAATGGGTCGGTGGGCCGCAGCGGACCGCAGGTGGTGTTCGCACTGATGGCAAACCCCCCTTGAGAGTAGGACCAAGATGGAGACACTAGTGGGTGGGGCTGGTGCTCGGAATGTGGATGGTGGCTAGGGTGCTAGGGTGGAGACAGGCAGGGTGCTAGGGTGGGGCCAGGCAGGGTGCTCGGGTGCTAGGGTGGGGTCAGGCAGCTTTAGGGTGGAGTGCGTGGATGATATATAAGAAGCTGGGAGCAAGCCACTTCCAGTGCTAATTTTATTTCCAATATCGCAATAAAGCTATTGGTGGTCTCCACGTTCCTGTTTACTGGCTTACTTGCGGAGAAGCTCAAATAGGATGGTCTGACACAGATATTCACCACTATTGAATATTGGACAGTAGAAGGGAAGTGTATTTTTGAAAGAGGGCATGATGCCTCAGCAGTTAAAGATGCTCAGCTTGTTAGCTGGAAAACTGACAGCCTACATTTGAGACCTGAATGCTGTGCAACAGGTTGATCTCTCATAATTTGCTGCAGCTCTTGCCCACCTAGCAGTTCTAAAGCATAGAAATGTGAGTAGATAAATAGGTACCACTTTGATAGGAAGGGAGAAGCATTTTGTGTCCCTCAGCATATAGTCATGCTGGCCGCATGAACACGAAAGAGGTTTTTTTTGTTTGTTTGTTTTGTTTTGTTTTTTTTTGACAACACTAGCTCTCTCAGCTAAAACAAAGAGCGTTTCCTAGAGGATATGTTTAATAATGTTACAAATCAGAGGCAAAGCAATAATGTATATCATTTTTTCTCGTT